AAATCCTTAAAAAATGTTTTTAGTGTGCTGGAGTCTAAAGGGCTGTTAGGTCTTAATCCATCAATTTCGCTCTGAAATTTCTTGAGTAAAGAGCTCAATCTAATTTGTTCCTTGARCCAACATGACTTGTGCTGCTGGAGTAAGTTATGTTCCTTCGAAACTTTTCTCTGTTCTGTAATTTTTTYGATTTTTYGAAGAGTTCTTTCACCTGCGGCTCGTTTAATCTGAGTAAAAGCCTGAAGCTTTTCATAATCGACTGGTTTGTAGCGGCTACTCCCATGTCCATCTGTGAGTCGGCTAACCAAAGAACTGTCTGAAATTTAACAATTCRTAGTTTTAGTAAGGTTATATTATTTGTGATATGGGGTGATTGTCTCTATGTATACATATGCTGCATAAACACGCAGGGAAGGGAAGGGTCAGGATCACCCCCCCCCCCCTAAAAAATAATAGAATCCCTAGTGAGGGTTCACTACAGTGTATATAGAAGAAGGGTACTAAACCCTTTGMATGAATTCTCAATGGACAACAAAATGAGTACTTGACTGTACTTTTTCTAAGACGTTTAAATTTCTTTCTCTGTCCTCCTAATTAATCTATTTCGAGAAAACTACTGCAAAGGATCTATAACTACCCTATTCTTTTTTCTATTTAACTACAATTTCGAGCTTAATAAGTCATTTTTAGTAGCGATAAACGTGATATTCAAACTGCTTACCAGATGAACCAATTGAACTTCGGTGGAAGTTAACGAACTTTTTCAAATCTCTTCCACTCATAACATGTCTTATTAGTTAAAAAGTATCGTTCCTCAAATAGATGGCTTAAGAAACTTTAAAATTTCATAAAGTAACCTCTTCGATTTTATATTTCTTTACCAGACGTTTTCGTTGACAACCGTCCGCCATTTTGTATCCAATGCATCCTACTTTCCACAGGCAACCCACTATAAATAAGACTGGAATATTGAAAAATAATTAGAAAAAGGTGATAGCAAACGATCATCTTGTGGGTTTTTTCGTTTTTACTTTGCAATTATTTGTCTAATTTTGTTGTTGTTGTTGTTGTTGTTGTTGTTATTTTTGTTTGTTTTGGTCTCCTGTATGATCCCTATCATGTGTTGGGTTGGCTGTGGTTAAGTTGAAAGAAAATTCAAGATGGCATCTGGACGAAGTAGAAAGGCGAGCAAGCGTTCTGCGAGTCCTTCTGGGTCTTCGCCTTTCGCAAGTAAAAAGAAAAGACCTCTCACTGTAAGTTSAATATCCATAAAATCTAAAAACACCAATATATATGGGAATACATTAAAAAGGAATCTAAATTTTATCTTTAACATTTTTCATTATTCTTGCCGGCCATCTTCTGTACAGCCTTTGATTGCCGATGAAGTTGATTCGCCTTCGAGTATCGAGAGTCCTGCTTCTTTTACTACGAATAACAGTGAATATACAATGGCAAATAATACRACAGTCGTCTTTAAAGATGCAAATTTCGAGGTAGGGAAGTCGTTTTTTTGTGGTTTATTTTTCCTTGTGTTTGATAAGCTTACATGTGGAAGAAAAGTTAGAGATGTGTTTTTGAAAGCAGCGGTACCATTTGCCATCAAATTAGGATATATGGGAATAAGAGCAACTATTTACCCCCCTTTCACCACATGGCATAAATCTTCCCCAAGTTACGGATCTAGAATTATTTCAAGGGGGGTGGCTATTACCCAGGGGGGGGTTACTCCCCTATATTCGCTATATGGGTACATGCCGTCAAACAGGGTATGGTTTTCAACGATTCTACTTTGGAACAGGGCATATAAAATCGCGCTCTCTCAGGGACAGGATACATGAAATCACACTCTCTCCTCTCTGGAACAGGGTATTCGTTTTTGCAATACCGCAACAGGTTATGATTTTCAGCGATTTTACTCTGGAACAGGTTATGATTTTCAGCGATCTTGCTCTGGAACAGGTTATGATTTTCAGCGATTTTACTCTGGAACAGGGTTAGGGTTCAGTGGGCTCAGTGGCACATCCCTACCCTAAACGGGCAAGAGTATTCCCAGGGGCTGTTACAACTTTATACCTAGAAAGCCAGTTCGATAGCTTATTCTTTTCATTTGATATTCCTCTTTATTTCTATTTTTAAAACTCCAAAGAGGGAATTGACCAATTCCCCCCCCCCCCCCC